CGAAGGCTACCCAGAGTTAACAGAGAGGGTCACAAAACATTCGAGCTCACTTGGGAAATGGAGCACAAGTCAGAGTCTTTTGTAAGCCACAGCCTTACAATTGCATTCATTAATAACAAGTGAATTTTTTACCTCTGGTCCAGTCTCCTCATGCCTTTCTTGTCTGTCTTCTTTCTTTAGTTAGTTAACCTTATTGCTTCTGCAATACTTGTGACAACATACCCTGCCCTCCACTACCATATAGCAAATAATAGTATCGGTATTCCTAGGGGAATTTTCAAGTCATTAGGTATCATAACTCATTACCTGATAAACTTATTTGAAAAACTAACACGAGTGAAAGTAAAAGGTGCATTTCCATTTGCGCTATAGCACCAAGTTATTTCAAAAGTAATTCCTTGGAAAGATGCCATCATTTGGCAAAAGAGCTCCCTTTCAATACCCATTAATGTACTCAGTGCTACTCTCCCACACTGGAATAGAAGGCACTCAGAGTGACAAGACAGCTGCCTAATAAGCCCTCCTAAACTCTGAGCCTGTTATTGTCTTCTCTGGTTAAGTGGAAAATGGCTTGCCTGAAGTTTAGAAAGCTGCATCTCAAGAGGCTCACAGCAGAGCTCAATGGAGCATGCCCTGGCCTACAGTATCAGTCTTTTCCTTCCACCCTTGACACAGGGGTCGATGAAAAATCATCTGCGTAGGCTTCAGCAACGAAGAGATCAGAAAAGTTACCGTTTGCTGCAGTTAAAAACAATACCTCTCCTCTCATCCTGTATCTCTTATGTCCTTTTTTTCCTCTCTCTTTCCAAGTTGCAGGCAGTGGCATTGGAAGAAACAGACGGGCCCAGTCTATTAATACACAGCACCAGGCTTGCTGGTGTCAGATGGGATTCACTTTTCTCAAAGGGGGATGATGGTCTTTGCTCACAAGCTAGTGGGGCTCATTGACAGAGCTTTAAACTAGGCTTGAAGGGGGAGGGGAATAATATCAGGCTTGCCTGTGACAAGCCGTGGGATGACACACCAAGGTTAGAGGGATAGGGTGCTAGCGAGGGCTCTCAGTCTGTTGCTCTGAGATGTGCTGGCTACGCTGCAGGACACTCGAAGTCTTATGGACTTCAGGGGCTCCTGAGGTAATAGGAGCCAAGAGGGAAATGCCAGTGAAATACCTCAAAGGAATTACAGGATGTTCCTCTAAGGTGACACAGCTGACAGCCCAGCTGAGGTGCCTATACACCAATGCACGCAGCATGGGCAACAAACAGGAGGAGTTGGAAGCCACCGTGCTGCTAGAAAGGTACAACCTAGTTGCCATTACTGAAACTTGGTGGGACTAATCCCATGACTGTGGTGTGGCTATCGATGGCTACAGGCTGTTCAGAAGGGACAGGTGAGGAAGGAGGGGTGGAGGTATTGCCCTCTACATCAAGAAATGGATAGAGTGTGAAGAGCTGTCTCTGAAGAATAGCCATGAACAGGTTGAAGGCTTATGGGTAAAAATTATAGACTGAGGCAACAAAGGGAGCCTTGTGGTTTGTGTCTACTTACAGGCCACCCGATCAAGGGGAGTCTATTGACAAAGCCTTCTTACTCCAGCTACAGGAGGCATCGTGCTTGCAGGCTCTCGTCCTGCTGAGGGATTTCAACCACCCCAGCATCTGCTGGAAAAGTAGCACGGCAAGCTGTAGGCAATCCAGGAGACTCCTGGAAAGCATTGAGGATAACTTCTTAAGCCAGGTAATAAACAGCCCCATCAGAGGAGAGGCAATACTGGACCTGTTGGTCACCAACACAAGTGAGCTCATTGGTGATGTCAAGATTGGAGGCAGCCTGGGCTGCAGTGATCGTGCACTGGTGGAGTTCACAGTCCTGAGGAATATGGGTCAGGCGAAGAGTAAAGTTAGCACCCTGAATTTTAGGAAAGCAGACTTCCAGCTCTTCAAGGAATTAGTTAATAGGACCCCCGGGAAACTGCCCTCAGGGACAAGGGAGCAGAACAGAGCTGGCAGACCTTTAAGGATGCTTTCCATAGAGCACAAGAGGTCTCAATCCCCTGGTGTAAGAAATCAGGAAAGGAGGGCAAGAGACTGATATGGCTGAGTCAAGACCTGCTGGTCAAACTAAAGGGCAAGAAGGAAACGCACAGGCAGTGGAAGCAGGGACAGGTATCCTGGGATGCTGCCTGGTTGTGTAGGGATGGGGTCAGGAAGGCCAAGGCGCAGATGGAGCTGAACTTGGCAAGGGACACAAAGAATAATAAGGGCTTCTTCAGTTATGTCAGCCAGAAAAGGAAGGTCAAAGAAAGCATACTCTCCCTAATGAGCAAGACTGGCAAACTGGTAAGAATGGATGAGGAGAAGGCTGAGGTACTCAACAACTTTTTTGCCTCACTGGCAACCTCTCTTCCCACACCTCTCAAGTGGATGGAATGCAAGGCAGGGACTGGGGGAGAAAAGTCCCTCCCACTGTAAGAGAAGATCAGGTTCGCAACCACCTGAGAAACCTGAACAACAGAACTCTATGGGAAATGACAAGATGCATCCCAGAGTCCTGGGGAAAGTGGCTGGTT